AATTGTTCTCCAATCTTCTGATTGGTACCGATATCCTTTTTCCATTTTCCACCAGACATTTTCAATATAGCTAGCTTCTCATATCATCAGAATGTTGCAGGTTTTCCACCAAATTAAGCTTGCTCCTATTTTCAGATTTTTCAGCATAAATTTTCAGTAAAGCAGCTTCCCTCCAATCATCAGAATGTTGCAAATTTTACACAAGAAATAATTATTAAAGTTTGTTCCTCTATTGAGCAAAAGGATGCAAATTTGAGACCAAACATTTTCCGAAAAGCTTGCCCATCCGTTCACCAGAACGGTGCAGATTTTCCTCCAGTAGTTTTCAATATAGCTTAATTTAAATAAAGCTTGTGTCTTCATTTACCAGACCAGTGCAAGTTTTCCACCAGAAATTTTCTGTTCATTTCATTCATCAGAGCGATACAAATTTTGCACTAGAAATTTTCAATAACGCATGTTCCTCCATTGACCAGAACGGTGCACCAAAAATTGTCAGTGAAGTTTGTTTAACCATGCACCAGAATGGTTCAAATTTTCCACCATAAATTTTCAATGAAGCTTGCATTCATCAGAACGATGCAAATTATGCACCAGAAATATTTATAAACCTTGCTCCTACATTCACCACAGTGTTGCGAACGTTCCACCAGAAATTTTCAGTTAAATGTGCACCTCCAAATTTTTTGCGTGATTCAATTTTTCCACCAGAATTATTCATTGACGATATTTTTACTCCAGAATTATTCTATAAGCTTTTTCTACAATTTACCACCACGAAGGTGAATTTTTTCAACCTTAAATTTACCCCTTTTAACCCTCCATGAACCACTTTGAATAAAAAATTACACCAGAATTTTTTTGTATGCACCACTGTGGTGCAATTTTTTGACCAAAAAATTTCATTGAAGTTTGTCCATTCATGCACCTTTGTTGTGCAATTTTCAGACACCATCTCAAAGGAATTGACGCAATAAAAGGTTTTCAGTGCCCTTATAGTATGAAATGAAGTTATTCGCCTTCAAATCAAGTTATCAAGAAATCAAGTTATTTTATATCATAATTTGTAAATGTGGAAATAAACATCAAGGGGAAATTGCCCCACCTTGCCCCGCCCTGTGCACGCCAGTGGGACAAACGGTCAAATAGTCAAAGTATTGAAAAGGACAAAAGGTTGAATGGCCAAAATATTGAAATGGACAAAAGGTCGAAATGGATAAACTGGTCAAAATGTTGGAGGATAAAATGGATGGCTATCTTTCAAATATTTTTCCTTCTTTAAATCACGAGCAGTTATTTGGAAAATTAAAATAACAATTAATTTAAGAGAAAAATTACTGCCTTTTTCTAGAATATATTCCTTCTTTAATCATGAGCAGTTTTTTGGGAGTATTTTTTAAAGATTATTTTAACTCTGAGCGTAAATTTTCTAAACAATATTTTGTCAATTTTAATGCTGGTTTTTTAATCTTTTCGGCTATTTGTACATTTTGACCATTTGACCCTCTAAGTTCAAATCGACCTTTTGTTCATTCGTCATTTTGTCCATCTGGCCTGAGTTTTTTCAACCTTTTGTCCATTAAACATTTGTCCTTCGAAGTTCAATTCGACCATTTGTCCCGCTTAGTTCGATTCGACCTTTTATCCTTTTGACATTAAATGTCCCTTCGACATTTTGTCCATTCGACCTTTTGTCCGTTCTGACCTTTTGTTCATTTTGACCCTCTAAGTTCAATTCGACATTTAGCCATTCGACCTTTTGTCCATTCAACCTATTATTCATTCAACCTTTTGTCCCACTAAGTTCAATTTGTGCTTTTGTCCATTCGACCTTTTGTCTTTCGACTTTTTGTCATAGGTTCTCTTTTAGAACTTGTCTACCAAATGTTATTGAAAAATGCTGAAATCTCCATAAGCAACAGAGCAATTAGGCCGACGATGATTGGTCTACCATAGAGGTAACTCTAAGACCAGAAAGTCCCGAAGAAACGTGCTCAACTTTTTGGCTCATTTCTGGTACTATCTTCGGTCCCAAGCTAATCGATTCACCCCTCGAAACATAGGAATATCCACTAACCCCTAATTTTATCTGTCAAACTTTCATGGCAAATCAAAACAAACATTGTGTAGTACTAGAATTTTAACTAGAATGGGGTACGTTAATCGATTTGCTTGGGACTAATAGGCTAGTCAAGTAGTGAGCCAATTTAAAATCGTTAGTTTCTACCGGTTGGGTCTACTACGTTTTCCTTGAGTACACCAGCCGAAGAGTAGATCCAACGATAATCGCGTTTACTTAGAACTTTACCTCTTCGAACGGGAGATGGTAAACCCAACGCACTATGGGCAAAAATGGGTCCAAGATTACCCAAAATTCAATATCTCAACAGCACGCTGAATTCCGGCCATGAAAAACAACTTTTCCGAAGGGAAATCGTCCGGGAAATCGATTGCACGTGGTCTCATAGACCGGAGAGCCTTGTAGGTATGTGTTTTGGACCATTTTACCACATTTTCCCCTACTTTTTGGAGGAAATGTTTTTCACAGCTCTATTTTTCGTAAAACATAAGCACTTTATGCATGGTTTTAGAATACTATGTCTTTAAACAACAGTTCATGAGATATTAGGGGAATACGGGGTACACTTATTGGCTCACTACTTGACTAGCCTACTGGTCCCAAGCAAATTCATTAGCGTATCCCATTCTAGTCGAAATTTTAGTACTTCACTATGTTTGTTTTGATTCGCTATGAAAGATTGACAGATAAAATGAGGGGTTCGTGGATTTTCCTATGATTCGAGGGGTGCATCGATTAGCTTGGGACCGAATAGCGTACCAGAGCTGAGCCAAAAAGTTGAGCACGTTTCTTCGGGACCTGTTGGTCTTAGAGTTACCTCTATGGTAAAAGTCCCTAACTTGGGTCGAATACGCGGCCAAACATTATGTAAATTGAATATCTAAGCAATTTTCCCATTGGTCCAGCATTGTACGAACAATCAATACGAAACTAACGATTGTGAATTGGCTCACTACTTGACTAGCCTATTGGTCCCAAGCAAATCGATTAACGTACCCCGTTCTGGTATAAATTCCAGTACTACACTATGTTTGTTATGATTCGCTATGAAAGTTTGACAGATAAAATGAGGGATTCGTGGATTTTCCTATGATTCGAGGGGTGCATCGATTAGCTTGGGACCGAAGATAGTACCAGAGCTGAGCCAAAAAGTTGAGCACGTTTCTTCGGGACCTTCTGGTCTTAGAGTTACCTCTATGATTGTACCATAGAGGTAACTCTAAGACCAGAAGGTCCCGAAGAAAATGTGCTCAACTTTTTGGCTCGGCACTGGTACTCTCTTCGATCACAAACTAATCGATGCACCCCTTGAAATATAGGAAAATCCACGAACCTCTTATTTTATCTGTCAAAATTTCATATCGAATCAAAACAAACATAGTTTAGTACTAGAATTTCGACTAGAATAGGGTTAGTTAATCGATTTGCTTTAGACCAATTGGCTAGTCAAGTAGTGAGCCAATTTAAAATCGATAGTTTCCACCGGCTATAGCCCAACTAACGGGAGCCCAACTAAAACGTAGCCCACTTAAAGAAAGCCCAACGAAATTCGACTGTAGTAGCAAACTGACATGGCAGAATCTATTTGAAGTTCAAATGGAAATTACTATGGGAAAACCAATTATTTTGTTCATATATATCTGAAAATAATAAAAACAATGCTTGTAGTAAATTTTCTCAGATACAACTTTATTGAAGACCACTTTTCAATCGAATGTAAGGAACAAAAGTTATCAATGATTAAAGTCGCTAATGTCTTACGCTTATGCTCAATCAACTGTTCAGCAGGCCACATTAGTGTTTTTGGCGCGTAGAATAGACCACTAAAATCATGGCTGCAAAATACAGTGTTACCCACAAAACAGCTGCTTGATCATGTCATAAGACTATCAATCTCTTAAACAATTAATAACTATTTAATTTGACGTTTGGTTGAAAAACGAGCTTCTGTAAAGTTGTAGCTGTAGCATTTTCATATAAACTTAGTTTCTTACCAAATGAGTTTATATTTTGGAAGGCTTATCAGGATTTGGAACCGTGGAGCGAAAATTTTAAATTTTGCATCAGTCTGTGCAATGTTCAACATTGCACGCGTGCAGATTATTGCAGGGTTTCAACTTAAAAAGTGTGCAGCTTAAAAACGGTCTGATTACCGGTATATCATTCGGAAGAAAGATGATGTTTGTTTCAAAAACAAATGTTTAATATGCAGCGCACAGATGTTATCAATTGGATGACAAGCACAAATTAATATGAACTGAAAATGGATGCTGCAATAAAATGCTCATTTACTATTACTCAAATTTTAAGAAAAATTCTTTTGATGATTAAACCAAATATGGACTGTATTCAGAGCGAGTCACTCTTAAAAACGAATCGGTTTGGCTTTAACATTCACAATAAAAACATATTGATACAACATTCATATTCCCTCAGAAAAAAAACGAACTCTTGTAACTTGAACTAAACTCCATTTAGTAGTCGTCTCCCCCCTTCGTTCACATCTGCTATAAATTCCGTCATTTTTCATTATTGCACGTTTTCATAGTTATTGGTTTGCGCTTTTTTCACACACCACAGTATTTAATTCTTCATTTTACAATGATTTAGTACGCCTTTAAAACTGATTCTCCCCCTAAGTTTCGCCTCTTCCCCATTTTTAAAAATAATAAATAATAACCTCTTGTCACAATATTTAACCTCTATCGCTTGCCTCTTAAAGAAACGAAGGTCCTTGTTATAACACCCTCTGCTAGTACTTTAAAGTTAAATATATCACATATTGCAAAAAATAACATGTGTGAAATCATCTTTCTACTCAACTGATTAAGGATGCATATAAAACAAAAGGAAAGTAAGTTGTTGTACAAAAAAAAAAAAAAAAACATAATTTACAAATTAGACTAAAATCCCTCAACTAAATAATACAAAAAAAAACTAAATCCTCCATCCCACCACAAATCTAACCTAGCCTGGAACCTTACTCGCCGCGACACTCGGTCATCGGTTCCACCTTGATGGACTGGGACTGTCGGGGCGAATCCTTACTACCGCCACCGTTGCCCGCCCTCGTGTTGGCCACCAGTTCGGCAATGTCCTGATCCTGGAAGAGATGCTCCGGTCGTGGAGGCGACGACGAGGAAGAGTAACCGGCTCGGGACGAGGACTTGCTACCGCCACCACAACCACCTCCACCTCCACCGATGCCGTACGGTTGCATTCCGAGGTGATCGGTATTGTGACCACCACCGACGGCCAGATTGACGGCCGGTTCCAGGGCCATGCCCATCGGGGAAGCCAGCGGACTTTCCTCCGTCGGCGGGGTCGTCATGCGGAGATCATGCGCGGAAGCTGGCGAGCCGAGGCGGGTTATGCTGAGGCTTCCGCTGTTCAGGTGGGCCAACGGATGGTGGTTTGCGTTGGACGAATGATTGCTGCCGCTGCTGCTACGTGACGATTCGGAACGGTTGCTGATGGCGGTGGCGTTGTTGACGTTAATGTTTCCGGAGGAAGTGCTCGTGTGGGAGCTCTGGTTCAGGGCAGGTGGACCGTGTAGGTCGTGATCTTTGTTCGAGTGCATGCCGGCCGGGGAACCTAGTCGAGGCATTTGGATTCCTCCGGCACCTCCGTTGTTGCCGTGGGCTTGGTTCGTGACGGCTGGGGAGCCGAGCTTGGGGACGGGAATTCCGCCACTGGAACCACCGGCATTTCCGGACGGGTGGATACTCAGATTAGTGTGATGTTGCGGGAGGTTGAACCCCACCAGATTAGCTGCCGCTTCCGGGTGGTGTTGGGCGGCTGCTACCATGTTGCACATCTGTTGCCGTACGGCGGCCACCGTGGCAGCGGTCAGAGCATCGGATGTCATTCCTTCAGCGCCAGTGGTTGGCAGTTGACCGTTGGCATTCGGTGCGTAGTTTAAAGGATTGTCCGCTTGGAACGTAAATGGCTGCAAAGCAAAGGGAGGGAAAGATAGAGCAATACGGTCTTCGGCTAGTGTTTGAGGTTTGGTTTTGAACGGGACAAACGTTTAAGCTTGGTCAATTACCGAATGTCTGCCGTACAGGATCTGCTCATCCTTCATATCTTTGGCATCGCGAAAGACTACGCTCTTGATTACCCCCTTGATGTGCTCGTCCGGCCAGATGCCGAGCAGGATCCGCTGCGGCCGGCCACGGCCCTTGGGCCGCAGATCGGTGCCACCGTCGATGGACGGGCCGAGCATGTTGTGGACACGGTTCGCATAGAGGACGAACGTCGGATAGGGAATGTCGTACTTGCGGGCTGCCTGTGACAGGGACAGGCCTTCCTTCAGGACACTGAAGATGGCTTCGGCCATGGTTTCCGGACGCCAGGATTTCAGCGGGCCACGCTCCCGAAAGCGCAGGTGGTGGATCAGGTTTTGGCTGTTCCAGCATTTTTGCCACATCGACTGCAGCTGGTATTGGTAACTTTCGGCTGCAATGGGAGGATAGAGAGAAAAGAGAATGGGGTATTAAGAATGGTGTTCTCGAGGCTGTAGGGGCATTATGGTTTTCTAAAATACATTTGGAAGTGGATCTACATTTTGGGAGAGATACCGTTAAATGGGGGGAAATACTTTTTACCGATAAACGAACAAAACCTCTCAAACCTGTACTAGCAAATTGCATGGTTGGATTATTTTCTAGAATTAAAATTGGATTTAAAATGCAAATTTCAATTCTGGGGTGAAGTTGAACATGCAGGTATATATGCTATGAAATATTCAGAAGCTAGCATTTATACTTGATTTGTGTTCACTGAAGAAGAATCTGGTGATACAATTTCAACAAATGTTTTATCGCAAAATAGTCAAAATGCGTAAAAAAAATAATACAGCCGAACACAGCACCGACATAAATGCTGATTATGGCGGATTTTGAGGAACAGTACAAGTTGCAGATTTTATCACTTCCACAAAATTGTACATTTCGAGCGGTATCGTTTGTTGGAGAAACGTTTCAAAAATTAAAAAATTAAAAAAATATCCTCTAACAACCGCCCACCCACCGCTATTTCCCGCTTTTCTTCAAAATGGGTCTTTTTTTACTCATTAATGAGTACTTTCAAGTTAGCGTGCAGCACTTGTTCGCTAACTGGGTGCTTGTTAACTAGGCTGCTTTTTAACTGGGCGTTCGTTTACTGGGCTGTAGCCCACTTAAAAAGTAGTTATACGTCAAAAATAGACGTCACATTTAGTTTGACATTTCGTTGTCATAATTGGTGAGGGCTATTTGAATGGAATGTTAAGTGTTAATCTAAATAAATTTTAAATTATTTTCATTTCACACCGAAATCAAGACTTGAAAGCCTTTTAAGCGAAAGCGTTAAGCCTTTCTAAATTCACGAGTTTGAATGCTGTGAAAATAACAATAACAAACTTTACACTGTTTCAATTCAATGCACGTAATTTTTTTTAACGTCGATCAAACCATTAAAGTTCCCCTCAATGTTTTTTGACGTTTGAAAAGCCAGCCCAGTTAGCGAGTGGAATTCGTTAACTGGGCTGCGCTTTTAGCCCAGTTAGCGAACAAGTACTGTACGTTGATTTTTTGTATGGGACTACCATAGTAGCACGCTTGTCACAAATCAATTGTAGAAACTTATATACGACTTATTTCAGTCATAAACAAGTTGCTGTAACTTAGTGTGATGAAAGTGTGTTACTCGGGTAGTGATCTACAGCAGCGTTTCTCAATCTTTGATTCGCGACCCACCGGTCATGGGCTTCCTTAAGGTGGGTCGAAGAAATTCAGACAACCCGGTTCTAAACTATTTAGATAACTATGGGCTATTGCAGCGATTATGGAGAGATCGAAGTAGGCCGCGCTGCGAAAATGACGTGTCTTGTTTTGCTGCGTCGTTTTCGTTTTAGTGAAAATGTTATAAATTTACAATTTCATTTTTAAAAAGTATTACTTTGAAAGTACAGAAGTGATGTTGAAAAGTGCATTAAGTGAAAATTTTTAAATTCTTATCCGTTGCATGTGGTGTCGACTGTTCTAAACTACGCGTAGTTACGCTCAGCTAAGTTTATTTACCTTTTCGTTCCTCTGTCCTCGATAGGAAATATCCATCTAATTCAAGATGATCATGTCAAAACTTACTAAATACGCATCAATCAAGTATTGCACTACTGCTTGATTGAATGTTTCAGTACATTATCAATGGTGTATATTTTCATCGATAATGTATTGGAGCGGGGCTCATCATGTGTGAAAATAGCTTCGGAATGCTTGCGTTCTTGAAATGGGCTATTATAGCTGCGGTAGAGCTGTCACCTTCTAAATCCCGGGTTCAAGCTTTTTGCATTCATAAGAAATGATTGCAGGCAGATTTTATCCATAATGCCACTGCCAGACAGTGGGAGTTAGGCCAAGGGTGAATCTTCATTCTAATCTACGATTCTACATACTATTAAAAACCTTTTACACACGAGAACCTCCTATCGATCAGAATGAATTGTGCATATGTTTAGGATCAACAAATATTTTCAGGCGCAAAGGAGCAAAAGGATCGAGCTGATAGCATTTCTTAATTCCAAAATCTGAAGACTGTTTTGAATAATATGTTTAGGCAATGGGCAGCAACAACGGACAGATAAACTACTTACAGCTTCTATTTATTAAATGCTTGATATAATGATTGCCAGCAACGCCGGCTGGGCGTATCCTATGGATTTCCCTCCCTACTAACAAAAATCCACCCTTCCCGTGACACTTATGAGGGGTCGTAGAGTTCTGTGCATCTCTCTTAAGTAAGTGTCGGACTAACATTTCTTCCCTTTTCCCACCAGATGCAAGGGCGTGGTCAGGAAAGCTCTGGTCTGTTGGAGAGACAAACATCCTTTATCTAAGAGGTAGTAATTAATCACAGATTACTATCTAACAACAACGGATGAAGGTGAATCTCCTTCTTAACAACAGTTTGGAGCTCGTACCACCTACGACATTATGCAACCTGGTTTATGCTATTCAAATGGGCTATTGTAGCGATTATGAGGCCATTTTCGGTGTTTCGCGGTTTTCAAGATTATTTTGAGGGCCGCTTTTAAAAGCCATTTCAGCGTTTTGAGGCTAGATTTTCGAGTTTAGGCCCTTTTCAGAGCATTTTAAGGTCATTGTGTATTTGCAACTTGGGTCGAAGTTGTTGTTTTTATCATTTCATTATTTTGAGGTGCTAATCTATTTATAGTTATAGTATTATAGAAATATTTAACGTAGTGAAACTACTCATGCGTTTCGATTAGGATTGATTAACCGCTTTTACCGAAACCGGTTTTACCGTGCTATTTTACAATACCGACATACCGGATTTTGTACGATAAAAAACTGGTATTTTCGGTATTTTTGTTGGATTTTTCCAGCATATTTAATTGTTTTTTAGATGTTTACCATAGTGACTGAAATATAAATAAATTAATGTTTGTAATATTAAAATAAAAAAAAAATCAAAAGTAAAATATAAGTTACATATAATGACAAATTACTTTGGATTAGAGAGGATTTAGTATAAGAGAGAAGTGGACTAACTGGTTTTAAGCCAAACGAACTGTCAAAGCCAGAACTAATCGAGCAGCGCCTATCTTGATTGCATTGGTAGTGTTGCTAGAACTTACCTAGACATAGGTTGCCAAGGCAGTTTGTTTTGAATCAGCTCCTCTCTTATACTAGACCCTCTCTGCTTTGGAGTATTCTTCAAGACATCGTGGTCTACTTGATAAAGCATTCGCTTGAAATTCTTCGTCGTTTGATTGATTTGGAAGCCAACGGAAAACATGCATAAGCCGAGCGAAGAGAGGAGCTGAATCGACTGGATGATACAGCTGATAGAGAGAACGATGGTTTGACCGTGAAGGGAAAATTTGAAAGACGGTTGCAGCAGTCAAAGTTTGCAGCCTCCAGAACTAGCTCAGCGTCAACGTCAGCAAACAGTTTGAAAAAAGTTATTAAACAAGAGTTTGCCTACTACGATGCTGAGGGCTTGAACGCAGTGAATCCAAACACATAAGGGGGGGGGGGGGTTGGAAATTATCCACGGTCCATACAATTTTTCTTTTGTATGGATAATTGTCTACGCAGGGGGAGGGGGGTCACGGATCCAAAAAAACTGTCTACGTAGTTAATGAACAGCCCCTAAAGCAACCAACGATATAGCCAAAACGGTTGCTACGACTACCATGACAAACTCACTCTGTAACATAGCTCGATCGGAGTGGTAGAATGATTTTTTTTCTTCTTTTTTTTCTTCTTTTTTTTTCTTCTTTCCTTTATTTAACGTCGGTCTCTGTTCCGCAATCTAGTGCCAATCACCGACGGACATCGATTGCCATCCATTGACGGCAATCGAATGTGCAGGAAGGCAGCTTCTACACCTGCGTAGGATATCGCATTCATTCAACACACATGGGCCGGGACCAACGGCTTTACTTCCCTTCCGAAGGAAGACGTGACCAGAGATTTTTATGCCTCAGAAAAATCCCACCGACCCAGCTGGGATTGAACCCAGACCCATCGGGGTGTTAGAAAGCAGTCACGCTCACCACTACACCACCGGTGCCGGCCAATGATTTTTTTAACTAGTTCGTTTATGTGGAAGGCTCAATCGCGTTAGCATTACGGAGCCGATAGTTAATTGTTCTGTGTTTGTAACAAAAGTTCACTTAATTTTATGTCTAGTAGGAGTTGGGCTGAATACTCGCGGCTTATTCGAGGTTAGAGAGGTACATTGTACGCGGTACGCGGTAAGGTTTCGTTGTCTCATCAGAGCGTTTTCGCCAGTATTGACGGTAGTGCGGTTCTAGTTTCGTCTGGAGTTCGACCGGCTATGGTGACCAAAGGGCGACGATGAGACTCATCGAGACGGGGGCACAAGACAAACAAAAACTATTGAAGAGAGACAAAAGACGTAGGAAGAGTGGTAGAATGATAATGATATATTGCTTGCCTGCTTTGTTGCAATATACACGGATGAGGACATAGCATGATCTGAATCGGGAACTGACATAACAAAAAAATCCCATTAACACACATGTATCATCTTCAGCTTTACTACTTGCCATCAATTTGCTCGTTTCCTTCTACCACCCCGAGTAAGCTGTGTGGCACGGGCTGTTTGTCATGAAAAAGAACCAATATCATTATTGCTTTCCACTTCTGACGTAGCGTTATCATTCGGTTCGTTGATCGCTTGTCATTTTGTCATTTGGGGATATTTTTGATTCCTTGTTTGAAAGGCAAATATATGAAGATGATTTACGATGCCTTTGTATTGTACGTCTTACTTACTTCGCCAGTAAGATCCGTTCTCATTTGGAAGATAATACGATAAATGCTCTTTGCATTCTTAAATTTTACTTTAACGAACAAGCCTAGCTTTGATGAGCGCATTTCTAACTGAATCATTTACCAATAAACACATTTTCTTATAATTATGCA